GTGTTGCTATGTCAGACAGGAATAATGATGAAAATGGTATATAATACTAACGAGTAGATTAATGGCTCACTGAATGCAGTCGTATGGAACCTTCATTATTTCACTCATTTCTTTGTTGCCAACACAAAGTTCCATCTTCTTTAAGCAAGGGCCCAAAACTAAATGAGATTTTTACCCAAGATTTTGCTAATGAAAAAAGTATTTATGATTTCTCTCAATTTCAATTGGCATTTTATTTCTGCTTTCTCTCCTGGGCCTTGTATCATGCATTCTGTTTTAGCTCAATATTTTCATTTCCCTACCTAGTGTTTTTTTTTTTCCTTGTTTCTTCAGAAACTCTAGTCACTGAAAAGTTCTGTAATTCTCCATCTTCATTTGTAGAGGGAGTGCCTGGCCTGCCTCTCTCTCTCTTTTTTTTTTTTTTTTTATTGGCAAGCTAAGCGCTGTTACCTACATCAGCTCATAAGAAAGCACTTTTATTGTTATGAAACATACAAGTAGGGAACAGGATGAAGTTGGAGCCATCTGTGGGCCAGCATTTTCATCTCATCAACTGACTATCTTGTTGACATCATAATGCTGTACGAATGCATTCCATACTCGAGTCATTCTGGGGATAAATGATCTCAGATGAAGTGATGTTCTGGAGAAGGGTACAGCCAGAGTGAAGTTGCTGCTTGTTGCCCGTCTTGTGGTATAGAAGCTTGCTTCACGCTACCCTCAAAGTGGATCCAAGTGTGGTACTTTTACAATGGCCTTATACATAACAGTAAGGCCACCCACATCTCTCCTGTGTTGAAGGCTCTGCTGAAATGACAGATCTATCCAGGACTGGTCCAGGCGAGAGATGAGAGGTCTTGCTCTGTTCTCTACTCTGTCGAGCAGCCGCAGATCAGAGGGGAGGGGGCAGGCAAACCAAAAAAGTCGAGCATACTCAAGGTATGAGCTTACTTGTGCCTCATACAGAATCTTGCAACCCCTACTGTCAAGCAGATGCAAGATATGGCGAAGTACTGTAAGCGTCTTGGCTGCCTTGTTTGCAAGATTTACAAAGTGGTTCTTCATGGTCAGTTTGGAGTCAAATTTCACCCCAAGAATATCAAATTCTTCCACAGGTGCCAACATCCTCCCATTCATCCTTACTACTGCACCAGCATTACTATCATGGTGCCTAGAGTTCATCATTTGTGTTTTCTCAGGTGCAAATGTTGCTTGCCATCTATTTCCCCAAGCTGATATAGCTCTTAGCTGGTGATTGATGTAGCTTAGAGCAGCTGGCATTTCTTCTCTTGAATAAGTGAATGTCAGTGTACAGTCATCTGCATATGCATGGGATTCTGGGATGAGATGAAGGTCATTGAAGTAGACATTCCATAACAATGGTCCCAGAACGCTTCCTTGTGGAACATTTGCCCCAATAGGATGTCTTGTTGATTCTGTTCCATTGAGAACAACCCTTAGAGATCTACCATAAAGGTAATCACTGAGGAGATATAGCATAGAGCCTGCAATTCCCAGAGCTTGCAGTTTTGCTAAGAGGCCCTGGTGCCACACCCGGTCGAAAGCACCAGCAATGTCCAGTGCTACTACACAGCTGACTTTGGATTCATCCAGTGACTGGTGCCACTTAGTGGAGAGATTTAACAACATATCAGCAGCAGAGTAACCTTTCCTGAAGCCATATTGACGATCACAAAGTAGTGAGTGGTAGTCGAAAAACTCTGTCATATGTCTTGAGATTATTGTCTCAAGGATCTTACCAGTGATTGACAGGAGTAACACTGGTCTGTAGTTGCTGATTTCTGCTCTGCTCTTCTTTTTGTGAACAGAGACTACATTTGCCTCTTTCCACAGAGAGGGCCATTTACACTGTACTAGGCAGTGCTGAAAGATGCGAGTTAGAGGTGCTGCTAGCTGGTCTGCACATCTTCTCAGCAATCTTAGGGTCAACTTGTCTGGGCCCACAGTCTTTTCTTGGTCAAGCAATTTAAGAAGGAAATGTACCTCCTCCTGCCTTATTGTCACCACTGACAGTTTTGACAGTTCTTGCAGCTAGCCAAGGAGGGTCCCTTGCTGGATCAGGAACTTGCATTTTGGTAGCAAAGTGTTCAGCAAAGAGGTCTGCCTTCTCTTGACTACTAGCAGAGGTGGTCCCATTCTGTCGATTTAGAGGTGGAATGAGTTCATCAGGCAGATAACCTTGTTTGTCCTTGACCAGGGACCACCAGGTTTAGGAGCCTACCCTACCTGATGCTAGCTTTCTTTTTGTGTCCACCTCCCATTTAGCAATGGCCCACTTTCGAACGTCACCCATATGCCTACAGGCTTGCCTGTGCAAGTTCCTGTTATAGGTGGTAGGATGTCTTATACCTTCGCCATGCTTTGTACTTAGCAGTAGCAGCCTCTCTACAATGAAAGCCAAACCAAGGCTGATCTGTAGGCTTCATCACATATTGCCGGTGAGGAATGTGTTCTTGTTGTAGATTAAGGATGTGTCCAGTGAAGGCTTTCACTTGGTTGTCAACATCCCCTTGGAGAAGAGCATTCCAATCGGTGGTGGCGAGCTCAGAGCAAAGGGCTGGCCAATTACCTCTTTCCCACAGCCAGGTTGTGCGTTGGACTCCTCACCTCGTTCTGTTGGGATCTTAAGTGTCGTAAAAACAGCCTTGTGGTCAGACAATCCAATGTAGCCGAGGGGTTGACAAGTGGCTATGCCTTCTGCCAGATCACTCACTGCTGGGTCAAGGGAGGAGCCAGAGATGTGAGTAGGGAAATCAACAAAGTTTCTCATGTCAAATACTGCAAGAAGGTCATCAAAGTCCCTCTGTATAAGGTGTTGGTTGAGGTCACCAACAATTATGATATGTTGACAGTTGTGTTGTAGCAGAAGGGAGTCCATATTTTCCATTAGGAAGTTGATGAGGTCTGCATGTTGCCACTGAGGTCTGTACATTGCACAAGCTAGTACAGAGGTACTAGTGTTTATGCAGAGCTTGAAGAACATCATTTCAAGATGAGTAGGGATGGCAACATCAATGTGCTGGGCATGAACACTTTCAGAGAAGCACACAGCAACACCTCCTCCTTGCCCTTGCCTGTCTCTTCTCATCCATGAGGTGTAGCCAGCAGTTCTTGCAAAATTTTCTGGAGTCCTGTCATCCAAAAATGTTTCAACAACAGCTATCATGTCGGGACGTCGAGTGTTCACAAAACTACGTGTGAGCTCTCCAACATTAGTAATGAAACCTCTAATGTTGGCTGACAGGATACTGATAGACTGACTCTTAATGATGTGGTCAGCTTGAGGTGGTGGGTGTGTAGGGCATGTAAGGTCCCTGCCCTTGAGAGAGGTAGGGTACTGAGGCAGCTGCAGGGATGTAGGTCTGTGGTCTGTGGTCTGTGGTCTCGGTCTCTCGGTCTTTTTTTTTTTTTTTTTTTTACACAGGGTTTGACAGGTTAAGGATCCCTAGCTTTATTGACAGCTATTTACAGGTTAAGGATTCCTAACTTTATTGGCAAGCTAAGAGCTGTTACCTACATCAGCTCATTTGAAAGCATTTTTATTGTTATGAGACATACAAGTAGGGAACAGGATGAAGTTGGAGCCATCTGTGGGCCAGCATTTTCATTTGATCAACTGACTTTATCTCCTTGACATCATTATGCTGTACGAATGTGTTCCATACTCGAGTCATTCTGGGTATATATGATCTCAGATGGAGTGATGTTCTCTCCCTCTCTCTCTCTCTCCCTCTCTCCCTCTCTCTCTCTGCATATATACGACATGAATCACCTTTTGTTTTTTAATAGTATGTGTCTGGAGCATACTTCTAGTGCCACCGAGCTCATCCTCTCCAGATATTGGTGCAGATCCATATCAATCATATTTTCTTCTCAGCATATCTCACAAGTCATGATTTATTTGTTCCTGATTAATGTCTTAACACTTGAAACTGAATTTGTTGAATACACCCATATGACTGGTTGCACTTTACTACTGAATACTACTGTTCATACAGGTTTGAGCCTTAATTATGTTGTGGTCATAATTAGTTGTTGACACCATTATAATCCATACCAGATCCTCATTGATTAAAAGTATTAAGGTCAAGGGTATTTTCTAGTCTTGTTGATTCTGCTGTATGCTGGTTTTAGATGAATTAACTGCAGCCTTAATTCAATTGTGTGAGAATATTCATCTTAACTAGCTCCTGTTTTTTTTTGCTCTTATAGTCAGTGCAGCAAATGTACTTCTATTTTTAGATGTTATAAACTGAAACTGCCAAAACAACAAGGCATTTGGAACAAGGTTAACATTTTTTTATGAATATAATAATAATAATAATAATAATAATATAGGTAGTAGGTTGGTAGACAGCAACCGCCCAGGGAGGTACTACCGTCCTGCCAAGCGAGTGTAAAACAGAAGCCTGTAACTGTTTTACATGATGGTAGGATTGCTGGTGTCTTTTTTTTCTGTCTCATACACATGCAAGATTTCAGGTACGTCTTGCTACTTCTACTTACACTTAGGTCACACTACACATGCATGTACAAGCATATATATATATACACACACCCCTTTGGGTTTTCTTCTATTTTCTTTCTAGTTCTTGTTCTTGTTTATTTCCTCTTACCTCCATGGGGAAGTGGAACAGAATTCTTCCTCCGTAAGCCATGCATGTTGTAAGAGGTGACTAAAATGCCGGGAGCAAGGGGCTAGTAACCTCTTCTCCTGTATATATTACTAAATGTAAAAGGAGAAACTTTCCTTTTTCCTTTTGGGCCACCCCACCTCGGTGGGATATGGCCGGTGTGTTGAAAGAAGGAAAGAATAATAACAATAATAATAATAAGTCAAAAGTACATGTGTAGGCCAGCTGGCCCACATTAGCACTTAAGACAAACTACAACACAAAAAAAGATCAGTATTAATAACATTCATAACCACAATTAAAACCATACACTAGTGTAACAACACAATGTATTAGCCTTCTTACCGCAGAAAAGCTAAGAAGCTGATGAGGAGAATTATCTGATAGAACGTGCAGCATCCCAGTAGTAGATGCAGCAGACCAACAAGTCCAAGTGCCACATAGAACCAGTCAACCATCTTTGATGATTATCAGGGTGGAGTGCCTGAAAAATTTAGTTGTATACAAACAGTACCTTACACACAGCAGTTGTTAAAAATCATAATTAGTCTAGCATCTTTCCAGAACTCACTCACCTGTCTACATAAATTCTTTTGGCATTAACTGGTAATAAAACTTAATGCTTTTGTGAAAATTCGAGTAAAATAACAGTGCCAGCTGGTACAGGTCCGGCATCATTGGGACCTGAAGTGTGCTGGATTATTGAGTTTGCCGGATTACTGAGTGGTTAGGTTAGAATACACTTAATAAAATTAACCAACTTGATTTACACAAGAAAGTTCGAATGTTTCCACTGCTTTGAGCTCAATTTCAAGGTACTTTTCACTGTGAAACCAATAAAATCATATCTATTTCTGTAATACAGTAGACCATCATTAAACACAGTTGTTACATTCCTGAAAACACTGTGTTAAGTAAAACCGTGTCAGATGAACTGAAGAACTTATGGGAAAAATTGGGTTACATTCCTGAGAGCCCCAAAAATGCCAAACAACTTTTTTTAGGCCTCCACATCTTACAAAAATAAAAGTGAAAATGTAATTGTAGTTCATTGTTATGATGTATTATGTTGTTTTTACTGCTTAAGACTACAAAGGTAACAGAAATAATAGTATTTCTTACCTTAAATTGTGGGTGCTGGTGTTTGTGGATGATTGTGAAGAAAGTGGAGAGTTATGCTGTGGCCCTACTGGGCTGAGGTGGATGGTAGAGGTTCTGGTATTGAAGTTGAACATTGTACTGGAGTGTCTAACTTTAAGTCATTCAATCAAGTTATTCAGTAAGTCGGTCAAGTGATTCAGCAAGTCAGTTAAGTCATTCAGTAAGTCAGTCAAGTCATTCAGTAAGTCAGTCATTCAGTCAGTAAGTCAGTCACACAAACTTATGTTTGCCTCTTTTTTATGTGTACAAAGTAACATTTCATTAAGGCCACAGGATGTCTCATCTAATACTATCTTTGTTTCCTTCGTTAATTCTAAGACTTAAATGCTTACACCTTTTCTTGCCACTTTGAGCAACACTGATATGCTTACTGGGTGTCATGATTGCTTGGCAGATACAAGATATAGCAATTAAAAGATCAAAACACGATTCACAATCACAAGCTTGTAGCAGAGAAACTGGACTGGACACGTATGAAGTACGAGTGCTTTGATGGTGGGGTGGTGTCGGGGGGTGGCTGCAGATGCCAGGAGATCTCCCCAGCTGAACCACAACAAGGTGGCTGCTTGAGAAAAGTGAAGTTTTTTTCCCCTCCCCGCAAACTGAACCGTGTTAAATACATCATACAACGTGTTACATAAAATTGTGCCACAATTCTTCAATCATGCTATGCCCAAATCGTGCCAAATAAACTCGTGCTAAATGACGGTCTACTGTAAATCTTCCATTCTTTCAAATGAGATAAAAAAAAAAACGAGAATATAACCATGAAAACCACACAAAAATATACCGCAAAGATGCAGCTAATGGGTGAGAAGTGAACTCCCTAATTTGTCCAATTTTTTTTTAATTTTTGGTGTACGTTAAGAAGCATCTTTCCACCACAAACAACTGAGAGAAAAATAATAATAATAATAATAAATCTTTATTTACTACAAGTACATGTACATGGTATACAGGCCTAGCTGACATCAGTGACATACTACTATATAGAAAGCTCTTGTTATGCTAAGCATTTCAGGCAAATTAGGCCAGTGTCCCAGGATAAGACCCACACTAGTCCACTAACACCTGGGCACCCATTTACTGATGGGTGAACAAAGACAACAGGTGTAAAGTAACACATCCAATGTTTCTACCCTGGCCAGGAATTGAATATTTACCAAAAATCATGTATGGCAAGCCCAAGCCAGGTACTAGAAATAAGCCACTGACTATTTTGGGTTATCCTAGGTTCTCTACACATATGTTGCTATGTATGATGATCTAAATAGACAAAATAGCTTTTTTGTTTCAGTTTTATGGTGCAGTACGAGTGTGTATCACAGTTAGCCATGTGCTATACTTCGTTTTCTCTAATATAAACCCCCAAGACAGGGATAGGAGAATGGTACTTGTATCCTATATCATCTTCATACCTCTGTCAAGGCGCTTGGCATTATGCCAAATATTATTAATTCTGGAGTATTTAACATGTTTTTATGTTATTTATATTGTTTATTATGTCGTATTAGATCAACTGTGATAGGCAAATAAGCCGTAGTGTTGATATTAGCGTAATAATAAAGCATATTCCCCTGTATCACGAGACTGAGCTCATGGGAACCAACAGTGGCTTCAAAGCCACCTTATCTTTTATGGACAATGTACATGTACTGTGTATGTGCTTTACACAATGAGAAACATTTATTTGTTGGAACCATGGGTTATGCTAAAAGCAGGGTATGACAATAAATAGGGAAAAAGAAACTGGAATGACTTGCAAAGCAAGTAGCGCCACCAAACAGTGCCAGCAGTTGGTGTGGCGACCCTGGAAATTTGAAATTATGTTAGCCGACATTAGTGCTGAATAATTGATGGAACTGGATGTCTGACTGCTGGATTTGTGATGGTAGACCTGTAGTTTTACATTTAACCTTTAAGGTCAGGTTTTGTGTTTAATATAGAGAAAAATGAGTAGAATAACTTAGCTGGTTTACTGAAAAATACTGTAAAACAAAAATCAAGCCCACAGATAACTTTAAAATATGATCACTGGAAGACAGTTCTGGAGTAGAGAGATAAACAAGAATAAACTTTACTTTATAACATAGTATCAATTTTGTGATATCCAAAACACAGTGGATTTGTTTGAGTTTTCCCAAAATAATATAGTATGCTGGTAGCTCTACAAACCCAACTTTTGCGAAGCATAAAGTCTAAAGCTAAAAGAGAATGAGTGCAATATTATTGGCCCATTTAATTTGCCAACTGCCAAATTTAAAAGAAATACAGTAAGGCCCCGCTTTACGGCGCTTTTCCGTGACCTCATTTATTATGTCAGGAAACTTTCCAAAATTTCAAGTGTTTTAAAGTTACTGCATATTTTATATGTACTCTGATATTTATACTTAAGTGTACCTGTACTTAAATATACTTACACACTGTGCTGGTGTGCAGGTACACATTAAAATCGCTAAGTCTCTCTCTACTCATGACGCCAATACTACATAATAACAACCACTCTTTGGCACACTAAATGTCTTATGTTACATCAATATAGGCATTTTCATTAATCCACCTATGATATTCTCCTCAAAATTGTATATGAAACCCATAACATAGCATATAAACATGATACATACACTCACAGAATAAAAATTGACGTAAATATGAGATTTGTTTACCAAGCAGCTGAGTAGATAGTGTCGGAAGAATTATGTTTTCTCTAGTCAAACTGGGGGATACCTGTAGAAAAATATTCTTTTCGTATGCCTTTACTCTATATATAGCAATTCACGACCCTTGTGGGTTTAGTGCTCTTTATAATAATAATAATAATAATAATAATAATAATAATAATAATAATAATATTATTATTATTATTATTATTATTATTATCTTCATTCACTCTAAAAATGGTGTGTTGCTCTTTGTTTATTCTGAACTAACTTGTACAACTTGTACACAATGTAAGAATATTTATATTGTGAGGTAATTATTCTTATAATAAAAAAATATTGAGGTAAATGTTTTACAAACTCTTACAAATGGACGTGAATGAACTAAAAGTAGACACATATTAATACGCATTTATTTCACCTGACCAAGTGATCGTCCACTACCTGTTCAGTTTGTGTTCTTACATTGTCTCAACTCTGTATCTCGTTCTCTCTCTCGTTTACTCTTTTGTTAACTAGTTAGCTCTAACTAACTTGTACACAACCTAACTTGTACAACTTTTACACAATGTAAGAATATTTATATTGTGAGGTAATTATTCTTATAATAAAAAAAATATTGAGGTAAATGTTTTACAAACTCTTACAAATGGACGTGAATGAACTAAAACTAGACACATATTAATACGCATTTATTTCACCTGACCAAGTGATCGTCCACTACCTGTTCAGTTTGTGTTCTAACATTGTCTCAACTCTGTATCTCATTCTCTCTCTCGTTTACTCTTTCGTTAACTAGTTAGCTCTCTTTGACGATGGCGTCTAAGGTTAGCTGTGATAAAAAGAGAAGTCGTAAGCCTCTTGCTTTAAGTGCCAAGTTAGAGGATGATGGTGTGCTATTCTGATTTTATTCAATAAACACCCTGCCACTCACCTCTCACACATTAATATTAATATTTTAAGGTAAGTAATAAGTGTACTCTGTGTGTATCTTACCTTTTATTGTGTTTTTAATGCCTATTTCTATTGCTAACTTAATATAAGTTAGTGTAAACTTGTTGTCTGGCAGTTATTGCATATTTTATATACTCTGATAATAATACTTGTGGACCTGTGTGGTAGCCGGGTGGAGGGACAACATTACGTTTTCTCTGCTCAGCCATCAGAGAAAACATATGAATCTGCGTTTGGCCCAGCCACTCCCTCACTCAGCTTTTGTTTACAATTTTCGGCATGAATTATTCATTACTTCTACCTTCGTTTATGATGGCATCTAAAGGTAGTTGTTAGAAATGATTAAATTCAGTGAACAAGGCATGTCGATGTTAATAATATGGCTCTGGGCCACAGTGTAGGTAGCCGGTAGGTGTAGCCCAGTCTACACCTACCGGCTACCTACAAATAAATACTACCTACAAATAAATACTACACCTACAACTAAATACTACTCACCTCTCTTCCTATATTAAGACTACACATATTTTAAAGTAAATAATGAGTGTACTGTATGTGTATTTTACCTCTGGGATGTTTTAAATATCATATATTAAGTATGAGACGGGGAGCCAGGGCTACCTACACCTGGGCTACCTGCACCTGACTTCCTACAAATAAGTACTACTCACCTCTCTCCCTACATTAAGATTACAAATACTTTAAGATA